TAAATGCAAGACTGTTAAATTATTTGTCTGAAGATCCTGAAGATTTAATGCCTTTAACACCCTCAATGTATATTCAGGATATAAGAATGGTGGGAGTTCCAGACTTGGACCATATAGATGAAGTCAATATCACTAAGAGATATAGATATCAAACAGATATTATGACAAGATCTCAGAAAAAGATTTAGAGACGAATATTTGAGTCTCCTAATTCAGTCCAGAGATCATAAAGCTACTTGAAGACAAATATATTTAGATGTGGTACTTGTGGGAAGTGACAACAGAAAAAGATTGGACAAGCCATTGGGTCGAGTTATTGAACTATTCCAGAGTCAAGATAATTATGTTAGAGTGGCAAAGGTGAATTGATCCGTCCTGTGCAACGATTGTATCCTTGGGATGAGAATTTGTTTTTACCTAAACAAAACCAATTTAACATTCCTGCTAGTAAAGAAATTAACTTTATACCTCCTGATAAGATAATTAAAACTAGATGTGGTAGAACTATTGTAAAACCTTTACGTTTTAATTCGTTTTTTCCTTTTTATGATTATACCAAGTTGTGTTTAGCCTTGTTATTAAGTATATTATATTTTGATTAAGTTGCACCCACCATAATTCAAAAGGTGGGAAGAGATGTCGTGAACAACTCAACGGTTATATAAATGTAATTTCTTTAAAGGTTAAATTTTACGGTTTTGCAACATTGTATCTTTTTTATGGAATTTTTAAAAAATGCACCATGATTTTGCATTAAGGTGGATTGCCTGTTTTATTGTGAATTAATTGGGTGGATTGCCCGTACTACTTAATAATAAATTTCTCTTTACGTTTCTTTTAATGGAGTACCGACTGAATGAACAAAATTCAGGTAGAGTCTCGTAACAACCAGTGTCTTGTTTGTACGAAAGAAATGCAAATGTCAAACGGAAAGGTCGTTCAGATGGCTTTGAATGGGTTTGTTGCAAGAAAAGTTCTAGCAAGAAATGGCACTATGGAGGATATTTTTTAGTCTTATTTTTGTTTATGTGGTGACAGCAGTACGCATATTCTAGTTCAGATACTTTTAGAAAGTGCTTGGATGCTGTTAAGGAATTTTTTTGCGCCACAGAGTGAAGACAGAAATTTCTAAATATAGTAAGTCGATTTTTCCTTTTTGTAATATGTATATGCAATAACATGTATTTCCTTTTTTATGTTATTTCATAGTATTTGATTTAAAATGTAGTTTATTGAGCTTTGATTGGCTACAAATTTTGTGATGAGTAACTTTGTTTTAACATTATACGACGTCATCATTTTGATTTTTTTTTTTTAAGTGAAAAGATATTGATGTGTCCGTGGACAAAGTCAAGGGAGTGCGCAATGCTGAGTTTGTGCAATTCTTTGATGTTTTTTTAAGTGAAAATAGATCAATGTGTACATGGGCACCCGAGTTTGTGCAATTCTTTGATTTCTTATTTTGTTTTTGTGTAACGGGCATCTTGAAATTGTGCCGTGCTGGCCAGTTGCCAATTTTCACCAAGGGGCACCTTGAAATATAGTTTTATCTCAAGAATATATGTTTATCTAGGTGCTTCTCAACAATTTTTGCATTAAAAAGTCTGAAATCTGGACATCCAATATCCAGAACAATTTAAAATCTAGACTTTAATTTCTTCTCAGCATTAACAAGAACCTGGAAAATCATTGTTTGTTATTTTTTGCTTTCATCATTCCATAACTATCAACACACTACAGCTTGAAAAATGATCTCCACATTGATGTCTGAGAAATTCTTTTATTTTTTATATTAATAACCGAATACCAAAGATTATACAGTCAAATGTCGTTAATTCGGACTCGTTGGGACTTCGGTGATTCCGGATTATCGATCATCAATTTAAATCTGATAAGACTGCAAGCAGAAATTATAAAATGAAAAATATGAAACCGTAATTTATGAAATAAAAAACAATTATGATCTAAAGGGTATCAAAATTTACAAAAAAAAGCTTAATATTTATTTGTTTACTTTATTAAACATTTCTTTCAATGTAAGTTGTTTAAGTTGCTCCGGTTTTTATGTGATAATACATTCTCTTTAATTCTATAAACAGACATAATTTCTTGTTCAGTTACAAAGTTCCGCTGTTCAAGTCCTATAATTGCTGTGTCGAGAATACCGACTAATTTGTCAATCGAAATTTTTTCGTTTTCAATAACCTCTGTCACTTTCTTCGCTTTCGGAAGTAAATTATAATGACGAGGAATTTGATTTAAATCACATCAAAGACGGAGTGCATCGAGATGAAATACTACATTTAGTAAGGAATTATAAGCCAAATAAAATAAAAACATCTGCCCTGAAGATAAGGATAGTGCTGACAGATCAACTTCCAATTCATTGCGCGCTGCGGCGTTAAAGATAAACAAACGTTAAATTTTAGATAAACAAAGGATATGCCTTTATCCATTTTTTGCAGCAATTCCACTTTTTGTTTAATAGACTTATACTTTCGCATTGTAGATCCTTTACATATTAGTAAATATCTATCACAAATTCTATTTGACATAATCGAAAGTTTAAGCTTACTTTTATAAAATTGCTCTAACAGTCTGCAAAAAATAATTAGCCGAATCCAATTCGAAGATTAAGGAACAACACAATCTGCAACATTAACTGAATTAGATAATTTTAGCTTAGCTTATACCGTCCATTATACATTAAACGTGCATTCGTAAACGTATTCTGCGCACGCATATTCGCAGCCGTAAAGGTCTTACGCGCATGCACAGAAAGTTTGTAGCTTTGAGGTCCGGATTATGGGTGTCCGAATTAACGACTTTTGACTGTAGTGACCTTTTACATCAGTATCCTAGCAATGATTAGAGACTTCAACTAACTCTTCTACAATGTGTTATGTTGATGAGGAGAAATTTAACAGAAATTTGTTTCTATAGAAAAATGCATATGCAAAAAAATAGATTTTATAAATGATTCTCACAAGACAAAAGATTACACTTAGTACTGTTTGAAGAAGTGATTTATTATTAAGCCCAGGACTGGTGCCAGAGCTCATGTGGCTGTACCTAGCGTTGGAATTTAGAGAAGACAGAATTTTTAGAATATAGAGAAGCACCCAGCAGCAAAATTAAGGGATGGCAAAATCCTTAGTTAGGGCACAGAGACACAACAGCAAAATTTTAGAATTTAAAGAGGTGCTTGGCAGTAGAATTTTGGATCCACAGAGACTGCACCGGGCTGCAAAATGTCTAGAGTCGGCCCTGGACAGCATCGAACCTTAAGTGGATGTGGGAATTTAATAGTTTGGGACTCACATAAGCCCTTAAGCATGTGCAGGGAATAATCGTAAGTAGAATAATAACTAAACTAATATAATTCAGGATTAACTTTGTCAAGTCATAGAAGTAAGACAAAATTTAGCAGAACAACATGTCTTTAGTTACCAATCCCATGATGCATCGCCAACAGATATTGCATATGATAGCTTAACTTTAAAATGACGAATTTGAGGAATTTCAGACATCACACACAAAAAGCGAAATTTTCCAATTACTAGAATTCATGAAGAAATGTGGAGAAGTTGTAGTAAATGAAACCAGTGTAAAAGAAGTTTTCCATTGTGATGACAATGCACCAATCATGAATCAACTACTGGACAGGGAAATAGTAATATGCTTTTAAATTCAGAAAATACTGCAATTGATAATGAATAAAGTGACAGAGTTTGCTGAGAACGAAAATATCTTGACTGACAATTTAGTAGGAATTCTCAATGTGGCAATTGCAGGACTTGAACTTTGTAACTGAATAAGAAATTAAGCTTAGCTATAGAATTAAGAGAAAGTATTAGCATAAAAAGTGAAGCAAATTAAACAACTTACATTGAAAGAAAAATTTAATAAAGCAAATAAACTTGGTTTTCTTAAGGATATAAATGCTTTATTGTTTCATAAATCACTATTTCAGATTTTTAATTTTATAATTTCTACACTGAAGATCTTATATCTGGAAAAATCCCAAATCCAGAATAGTCGAAGTCCCAACGAGCCCAGATCTCAGACTTTGTACTGTAGTAGCTTGGAACCCATATCATTCTCATCATTCATATTCTAGATTTGGGATTTTGCCATTACTCAGTGGGACAAATTCACATCTTCTTCATCACGAGTTATTATTACTTACCGTAGCACTTCCAGCTTGCTCTGGTTTACAGGCATTTTCAAATTTTGCTTAATCTTAGATGATATCACATTACAGTAGTGGCAACATAATTTTAAATTTTGGTTAGGACTCATATTCCCCCCCCCCTCAAGATTATTTAGATTGAAAGTTTCTAAACAGACTTTGTATTAGTTTAGGCGTGAAAGTCCAAAAGACTATTTGGTCACAAGAAAAAGAAATCTGCAACAATGTCAGTCGTCCAGACTGAAATACAGACAATTTGTCAGTTTCTTTCAAGATACTGAATCCAAAGGCAGAGATATTTCTTATTCAAATTCAATAGCTAGAAAAGAAAACGTTCTATGGTGATTATATTATTATTTTTTAAAAGATGTTATTACTTTTTTAAAGATGAAAAATATCACACATTTTCTGGAATTAACTGACAATGATTAGATTTATAATTTAGCTCTTACTCTTTCACTCTAAGCATCATGATAGGATTAGATATTTTTAACCTAATATTATAAATTATATGCCCGTAATATAGTAAAATGTTTGAATGGATTTCAATTAAAATGTCAGTTATTCTAACAATACATGTTAGAAAACAAAGCAAACCATTATACAATCATTAAGTTACTAAAAATACCAAAAAATAAATTTCAAGAATATATTGAAATTATCAACACAATAAATGATAGCTCTGAATGAAAATTTCAAAGTTTTGACCCTCTAATAAACATACATTGAACACTCTAATAAAATAAGAAATAACATAAAATACTATTAGAAATGTAATACTCCATATTGTAGCAACTATAATTCTTACCATTTAATTTTAAATCGTGTCCATAGAAAACTACTTGTGGAATAGATGGAATTGCTGCTCGTTCAGATGGTATTTGGTTTTGTGAATGAATTACAGTAATGCTATCAGCACTTGGTCTTCGGGATACTGTCTGGGTTGGTTGCTAAAAATATATCAAAAAGTAAAAATAGCTAAACAATAATCAATTACACGGTGAAAGAGAAAGAGAATCGCATCTGTTACAAAAACACAATGAAAAAGTCTTAAAAGTTAGTTTTACTTACCGAAATTACTTGTGTTGTCCTCATAAGTGTTTGGTTGCATTCACCTTCTACTGACCTCCCAGTAGTTTGTAGTCTGGTATTAAGCAAATTTGCTAGAGCAGTCTTTGTTTTTGGAGTTACTTGAGTTGCAGGTTGGGCAGGATGTCCAACAGAGCCTGGGGATGCCTGAGATAAAATACTAGGTGCATTCTGAGGCTGATACTGAGCAGGTACAGCTAATGTTTGATGCTGCTGGGGTGGACCAGCCATTCGCTGAACACTTTGGCCACCCTGATCAGACTGTGGAGAAAACTGAGGTTGGGATGCTGGACGTTGAATAGTTAAATGTTGCTGCTGTTGTAGTAATTGTTGTCTCCTTAATTCCATTTGTTTTATTTGCTGCCACTGCACCAGTTGAGATGACTGTAAAGTTTGATTAGGATCTCGTGATTGTGTAACTTGCTGTTGCTGGTTTTGCTGCCAAAGAATTTGTTGAGATGAAGTTTGAGGAGCAGGTGTAGAAGTTTCACGATTTTCTGTAGATGACAACTGTTGTCGTTGAGGCCATGCTGCTTGCTGCTGAGATGACGTTGACTGCGGACTAGGAGACAACTCATCTTTTGGAGAAGGTTGTTGCACATGTTGCCACTGAGGAGAAGGTGGAGGATTGGCTCCAGGAGAACGTCTTAGCAATTGCGCTTGTTGACCAGGAACTTGCTGCCAAGTGGCTCGAGGATGCTGTGATGGTTGCTGTTGAGGAGATAATTGTCTAGGATGTGAAGGATATTGTAAACGGGGTTGACCTTGTAGCTGTTGCCTATCATATGGATACTGCGGAGGAGGCTTCATCATAACAGGAGGCTGCCCAGCTAAAATTTGCTGAACTGCTTGTTGAGGTGACTGCTGTGAATTTTGAAGCTGCTGCTGTTGAAGTTGTCTTTGGCGTAATTGTTGCAAAGCTAACTGTTGCTGAATCTGTTGTCGTTGCTGCAATAATTGTTGTTGGTGGAGCCCTTGAACAGGTGGTTGACCATGCGTAGGTGTTTGATTTGATGTTGGCAAGTTATTTGGAAACTGTTTCTGAACAGGACGCATAGAAGGAGATAACTGATGTGGAAAACGTGATTGCTGCTGCAATTGAGGAGAAGGTGGAGGCTGAGGAGTCTGAGGAGGGGTTTGCTGCAACTGGATTTGCTTTGCTACTACCTGTGTTTGCACAGGTGATTGTTGCTGAGGCCTAGGAATATGCCCTTGCTGAATAATTTGCTGTGCAGAAGTAGGAGGCTGCTGCAAGCGTGTTTGCTGCAAAGCAGCTTGACGTAGCTGGACCTGCTGCAGCTGTGTTTGCAGTTGATTTTGTTGTAGAACTGTTTGAGACAATGAAGATTTTTGTAACTGTGCTTGCTGTAATGCAATTTGTTGCAATTGTGCTTGTTGCAAAGGTGACTGAAGTCGAGGCGGTTGAGAATTACTCTGGGACAGCTGAGCTTGTATGTTACTTTGAGGTGATGGGATTGGTTGCCGTGATGACTGGCTAGAATTCTGCTGCAACTGATTTTGATGGGACTGCATAATTTGAGATTGCTGTAAATTGACTTGATGCTGGCTATTATTTTGTTGACTTTGCTGGGAATTTGAGTTTGCCACTTGTGTTATAGATTGCTGCAACTGAGCTTGTTGCTGGCGCAGTTGCTGAAGACGAGCTTGTTGTAACACATGCTGTAACTGAACTTGTTGCACTGAAGTCTGCTGTAACTGAATTGGTTGACTTGAATTTTGTGAGGAATTTTGCTGAACTGGAGATGAACCCTGAAGTTGAGACTGTGATGATACTTGTTTAAGCAAAACTTGCTGACCAGAAGACTGCTGTAACTGAGCTTGCTGGGCAGCAATTTGCTGAGCTCTTTGAAGCTGAGCCTTTTGTAGTTGTGCTTGCACTGATGGGGAATGTAACTGCATTTGAATAGGTGATGCTTGACGGAGAGAGCTTGAAAGATGACTAATATCACGAGAAGAGATTTGATGAACCTGTGACTGCTGTTGAGATAACTGTAAATGAGAACGAGTTTGCTGCAAATCGGACTGCTGAGATGTTTGCTGAGAAGAAATCTGCTGAAGCTGTGATTGGGAAATTTGATTAAGAGGAGAAGATACTTGTGATGACATTTGTGACAGAGTCTGCTGCTGGGCTGACACAGACTGTGAAGACACATCTTGTTGGGATTGAGATGTTTGCAAACTTTGCTGCTGAGACGAATTTTGAGCTTGATTTTGCTGTGAAACAACTTGTTGTGAAACCTGTTGAGCAGAATTCTGTTGCATTTGAGCCTGTTGAGCAGCACTCTGTTGTATTTGTGTTTGATTTTGTGACTGGAGTAATTGTGAGTGCTGTGAGGACACTTGTTGCTGTTGCATTTGATGTGAAGGCACTTGTGTTTGATTTTGTTGCGAAGGCACTTGCTGTAGTTGAGATTGTTGAGAAGATACTTGCTGCAGTTGCTGGTTAGATGCTTGATGTAACTGACCATGCTGTGCAGGAGACCCTTGAGATAACTGTAAATGCTGAGCAGGAGATCCTTGCTGCAACTGAAGATGTTGACTAGATGGTGATCCTGTTGGTAGTTGAATGGACTGCTGAGCTGGAGAACCTTGCTGCAACTGAGCTGGAGACCCTTGAGGCAGCTGTGCAGGAGAACCTTGTTGCAGTTGGGCTGGGGATCCTTGCTGCATTCTTAACTGTTGAGAAACTTGCTGAATTTGTTGTGTAGAAGAATTCTGTGACAGCTGTGAACTACCATGCTGCAACTGTAAATGCTGTGCAGCACTTCCCTGAGGTAACTGCTGTGATGAACTTCCTTGTTGCAAATGTAGCTGGTGAATTGATGAACCTTGCAACTGCTGAAGCTGTAACTGTTGAGCTTGTGATCCTTGCAATTGTAAACGTTGCATAGTTGATCCTTGCTGCAACTGTAGTCTTTGGAGTGATGATGCTTGCTGTTGCTGCAACTGCTGAACTGTTAGTTGTTGCATTTGCAAGCGTTGCACTGAATTCTGTTGCTGCAATTGTTGCACAGATCCCTGCTGAAAAGATTTTGTGGCAGACTGAAGTTGCGCCTGCTGAACTGAAAATTGTGAAGCAGGATGCTGCATCTGCGACTGCTGCATATTTGTTTGTATTTCAATTTTTTGTTGCCCTGCTTGTTGAAGCTGTAAAGACTGAGATGATGACTGCTGAGCCTGATGACTTGATGACTTTTGTAACTGCAACTGATGGATTTGTTGTTGCAATTGCTGAGCAGAAGCCTGAGATAAATGTACAGTTTGCCCAGCAGCATGCTGTAATTGAGAACGCTGTAATAAATTTTGCTGTAAATGAGAATTTTCTAGAGCCACTTGGTGCAACTGTGCTTTTTCTAAAGACTGCTGCAATCGTGCTTTTTCTAATGCAGCTTGTTGGAACTGTGCTCTTTCCAAGGCAGCTTGTTGCAACTGAGCTTTTATCAATTCTGTTTTCTGAAGTTTTTCAGCTGCAGTTTGTTGAGCTTTCTCCAAAGCAATTTGTTGTTGCAATGGAGAAAGAGGAACTGAAATCTGATGATGAGCCTGCTGAGAAGATGCTTGTTGAAGGGGTGTCTGAGGACGCTGCCCAGGTAAAGGAGATTGTTGATGTTGCATCTGAACAATGGGCTGCTGTGATTGTACTTGTGACTGCTGTGGTGAATGCTGACGAGGTGAATGTTGCAAAGGTGATTGCTGTAATGGAGACTGTTGCAAAGGTGAATGCTGGAGGGGTGACTGCTGTAATGGAGACTGACGTGGTGATGGCTGTAAAATATTCTGTTGCTGAAGGTGAAGGGGAGAAGGAGGCATATTTGGAGATTGAGTTAGAGCTCTTTGTTGATTTAACTGAGCTTGTTGTTGCTGCTGCTGCAAATGCTGAAGATGTTGCTGTTTCAAAAGTTGCTGCTGTAATTGCTGCTGCAACTGTTGTTTTTGCAAAGACTGTTGTTGCAACTGAGACAATGTTTGCTGCTGCTGCTGCTGTTGGCGCATCTGTGCTTGTAATTGCAACATCTGTGACTGTACATTTTGAGTACCAGTAGCAGATTGGATATGTTGTGGCTGCATAACTGACTGCTGACCTTGCTGTGTTAATCCTTGTTGAAGAAGCATCTGTTGAGAATTTATCGGCAACTGCTTTTGTAAAATGGTTTGCGATGACTGCTGTTGTACATGTGCCTGCGAATTAGGTTGTTGTTGATTTTGGGACTGGATATTTTGCTGTTGCTGCTCTTGCTGTAGTTGTGCTAACTGAGAAGGAGGCAAACCTTGCCGATTACGCAGCTGCTGCTGCTGTTGAAGTAAACGAATTCTCTGTAATTGTAGTAAATGTTGTTGAACCTGTTGTTGCTGTGCAAACGTCATACGCTGCTGTTGCCACTGAACTTTTTGTTGCAATACTTGAGGCTGGGATGTCTGGAGTTGGGCTCGTTGTTGCAATGGCTGCTGCTGAGCTTGTATTTGCTGCAAAGCTTGATTCAATTTTTGCTCACCTTGCTGTAGCATATGTTGGTGCTGTAAGCTTTGTTGATATGCACTTTGAGATGATGATGTTTGAAGTCTTGTAGGAAGATTCATTTGCTGTGTTGATGATGTTGGCAAATTTGTTAGTCTGGTAGTGACAAAAGTCTGTTCTGATGACAATGGTAAAGTATTTGACTCTGACTTTATATTAATGACTTCAGGTAAATTTCCAAGAATATCTCGAACCTTATTTTCAAAGCCTGCAGCTTTTAACTGACGAGGAAAATTTTGTAAAAATATCTGCTCAGAAGTGGATTGTGGAACTGATTGAATATTTGAATCTATATTTATTTTGTCAAGGGAAATAAGAGTGGAAGCTAAAGATGGAGAACTTGGTGATGGTATATCAGGTGGTTCCGGTTCTGGGAGTATTAATAATCTTGGATGATAGAGATCTTCATCACAAAGACTTCCATTACGCACAGAATCAGAAACCCAATCAGGTGTGACAATTTTTACTGTACAGGGATTTTGGAAAGCCTTTTCAAATTTTTCCTGTGGAATTAAAAATAACAACATAGATGAAAAATTATATCTTTTAAAATGATTTTAATATAGACAAATACCATAAAAATTCTTTGAAAATCTTTAATCTATTTAAAGGTTTGCTAAGATACTACGGAATTTTATCTCCAGAGAGAAATTTACCCATTCCCTTTATTTTAGCACAAAATGCAATATCAATATATTATTTGCATTAAAAAAGGATTTTTAAACAAACCAAAAAAAATCCATCAACCAAAATTATGGTTTATGAGAAAATTTTTCAATGTTTCTTGGAATATAATGTTTGTCAAACTTTTTCTATCATATGTACTATTTGATCTCTGTTTTCTCATTTTTAAATGATTATATGATAATAAGTATACGGATATTCTTCTTTATTTCTTGCTGTTTCCCTTCATCACACTAACATTATATTTTCCTTGTACAGTATAATCTGTCAGTCATCTTCTGATTTCTTTAACCTATTGATAATTAACATCTCCCTGGACAGTAATTCTACTACATAGAAAAAAGATACTGTGTATTTAATTAAAGAAGATTAAAAGTTCATTAAATTTAAAAGGTGATTGCTTATTTGAAATAAATGCTAGATTTAATGAGATCCAATTCAAATTATTGATAAAATGGTAGATAAGAAGATTGTGAAGATAGTCAACTTCAGAAAAATTCACATGCGATACTTTAATGATCAAATTGCAAATTATGAATATCTATCAGAGTTGTATTAAAGAAAAGATTAAATGAAATCTTAAGAAAAACTTGAAAAATGAGAACATTAATGTAAAATTAGAGTAAACAGAGATTATGAACATGAATTCCATTTCATGAGTCATTCATTAAATACATGGCTGTCAATATAATAAATCATCTGGTTCCGCAGTAAAAAATTAAAATAAAGTTACACTACAGCAGAAGTTCTAAAACATTTCTTTTTTTTTTACTTTGTACGTCAGTAATGACTAAAAAATCTGATGCATCCTCACAGTAAAATTTCTACAAATGGCACATTTTCAACATTTTTTATGATTAAATTCCAAATTATTGAAGCAGTTTGTAACAAATGCTGAAATTAATAAATCTGTATCAAGAATAAATACCCATGACATATAATCTGTAGCTGAAAATCATTATATATATATATATAAAGAAGAATGTCTGTGTGTTTGTTTGTTCACAATTAACTCAGTCACTGCTATAACTATCACCACCAAACTTCCCTACAGTTCTTTTCTGGGTCCTGAGAAAGGTCAACGTCCACTTTATTCTACAATAAAAAAAAAGAATCTGACGTATACACCACATGATTTCCTTGTATGGAATATTAAATTATATGCATTTTTTCCTGCATTTCATTTAAACTTATTTCGTCAAATTTCGTTAGAGATACAGTGCCTCCCAAAAGTGTTCGTAAACTTATGATTTTCATTGAAATAGGGCTCTATCCATTAATTAAAAGTAAACTTTCTGAATGAGATTTTAATAATAAGATCTATAATCTATTCGTAACTAAATTACATGAAATATTTTTTAAAATATAGCAAAATTTTATTTTTAAGAAATTAATAATCAAAAAATGATAAACATTTTATCTCTTTAAGTCTTCATACACTGAAATATTTTTGGATAAAATCAAAATTAGAATTACCGTTTGCCGTCTTTTTTAATTTTTGCATTGTGGTGGCATTTAAAAAATCATTTGCTTTAGTTTTTTATTGTTTACTTCATAATATTCTATTTATTATTGAAAAATGGGTCACAGTCATAAAGAAATTACAAACAGCATTTGAAAATTGATAATTTTTCACCACAGTAGTGTTAAATCAATTCAAAATATCGCTAAATTAGTTAATTTATCCCATTCTACACTGCAGTATGTGATAAAACGCTTTAAAGAAGAAAATCGGATTGAAAACAAGGTAAGAAAAGGAACCGAGAAAGTTAACTAAACGTGATGGGAGATTTATTATTAGAAAATTTGTAAAAAATCTCACGTTTGAGTGCTGTAAAAGTTTCTGCAAAATTTATTGCAAAGTTTTCTACTTCAATTTCACCTGAAACTTTTTGACGAGTTCTCAGAGAAGCTGGATTACATGGGCGTTCTATCCGTAAAACATTTTTTATTAGTGAGAAAAACAGAAAGCTTAGGATTTCTTTCGCAAAATTAATGATAAATACACCCGAAACGTACTGGAATAATGTCCTTTTTAGCTGACGAAATCAAATTTAACATTTTTGGTTCCGATGGTCGAATAACTGTATGGAAAAGAAAAAATGAGGTAAGAAAAGGTCATTCATTCTAAGAACTTAGTTGGAACAGTTAAGCATGGTGTGGAGGTGTTCTTGTGTGGGGGGTGTATGTCAGCATCAGCACTAGGTAATTTAGTATTTATTGATGGCATAATGAATCATTATCTTTATTTAAAATATTTTAAGAGACAATTTAAAATTATCAGCCCAAAATTTGGGTATAGGAAACAACTTTATTTTTAATCACAATAATGGTCCTAAGCATACGACTCTCAACGTTCACCTGTGGTGTTTCTATAATTGTCCACAGATTTTAAAAATACCACCTCAGTCGCCAGATTTAAATCCCATAGAACACATTTGGAAAGAACTGGAGGTTAAAGTACGAAAACATGACATCAAAACGAAACGTGAACTTAAACCAATCATGACGGAAGAATGGGTAAACATTGATACAGAAAAAAAAAAAAAAAAAAAAAAAAACTAGTAAAATCTATTCCCAGACGTTTAAAAGCTGTTGTGAATGCTAAAGGATATCCTACTAAATATTAATTTAACGAAAAATGAAAATATTTACTCGCATGTCAAGATTTTTTTGAGAAGTGTACGAAGACATTTCTGAGATAAAATGTTTGCCATTTTTTTTTATTATTAATTTCTTAAAAATAAAGTTTTGCTATATTTTAAAAATATTTCATGTAATTTTGTTACGAATAGATTATAGATCGTATTATTAAAATCTCATTTTGAAAGTTTACTTTCAGTTAATGGATAGAGTCCTATTTCAATGAAAATCATAAGAGTGTACGAACACTTTTGGGAGCCACTGTATGTTTCTCATTCAATTAATTCAGTTCTCACTTTGCGACAAGGCAAAAATACATAAAAATTTAAAATATCTATATTAAAAAACTGAAAGATGCAGAAAAACAAAACACCAAATACAGTTAAAACAATTTAATTTTTTTTTATAATTACAGTTTTTACACGAATGTTTCGGTGCACAAAACTGAAATTTAATTTTGGTCTCACTCCACAAAAAGACACTGAAGGTGTAAAAACTGACTTAAATTGTTGTGCATGCTATGCTGCATCAAATAACTAATGATAATTCCAGAATGAATTTAGCATAATTCACAATAATAAAAGAAGACATTACTTTGTTGTTGTGAAGCTTAGTTTCTCTAGATTGGCAACAAATCCACTATTCTAATTTTCAAATGTAAACAAATATGGCTGCTGTGGTAAAAAAAAATTAGGCCTAGCCGCATTTAAAAAACTTTAAAATTGTTGATAATTCTGCAACTATGTAACATGCAGGTTAATTAAAGGCTTAAGAACAACATAATTCAATCATTTTTAAAGCAAAAAATACACAATTTACAAACATATAAGAACAAAGAAACTGAGCTCACTGAGCAGAGTAACAGAGTGTATGTATGTATGTATATATATATATATATATATATATATATATCATATATATATATATATACATACATACATATATATATATATGTCATAATAAAAACAAGGGAAATACAGAGCAGTGTTGATGTGTACTAAGATCCCTAGTGAAGAGGAAGAATTCTGATTGTGTAGTATGCTTATATGTTGATTTGGTAATATCTAAGAGAACTTGGCAGTCGAGGCAAGTTTTAAGTCATTTTTATTTTCAATTGACATATGTGACCACAGTTAGCTTGGCACTCTAATTGTGCCTCTTTACAGAACATTTACATTTTTGATATTATTGCAATAGCAAGAGAGACAGCTAAGATATATCCTAGCAGGGTATGAAGAGAAGCTGAACTGTGTAGTTATGTAAGATGGAAGAACACAAAGAGAAAGGATTTGGTTTCAGTTTAAAGATTCAGTTCCCAATTCCAAAGTCAGTTCCAAAGTCATCAGCGCTGCACAGGCCAAGCAAAATCAAATGATCTAGAAATGATGCAATCCAGAGAAGTTATTACGACTTTTAGAACTGAGAGGGGGAATTAAAGATTTTACCATTATTTCAAATTATAATATTAATTCAAATATGTTTTACCTTACATATATATACATATATTTATATACTTTTGGTTGGGCCAATTGCAACCAACAACAGAGGTACTCATCTACATGTTATAACAGTCCCACACATAAAATTTCAAAGTTCCGAGTCTATTCGTGTTTGAGTTATGCAAGATACATACGTACAAACGTACGTACTTTCAGATGACACGACAAAATATCTTCTGAATCCATTTTAAATCAGTTTTATAATTCGTTTGGGGGAAAAGAGTCCTTTATTCTGTCCTTATGTACAAATGTCATGCAAAAACATCATTATATTGCATTCTATAGCGGTAAAAATGGATATTTTAGTTTAAAAATGATACCCGAAATTTTTTGCAATTACAATACTTCCTTAATACTTTGTACAAGCAAATAAAAATAGCTAAAATCAGATATATTAATTAGAATCTCTGAAAATGCTAATCTTTACCCTCATTTTTCTAAGTAGCAAGTCTCAAATGCTGGAGATAAAAATCTTCTTTATTTTGAGACGTGTTGCCACTGCTCACTTTCAAATCGTAGAGTTTGTTAATAAAAAATTTCTGAGTTTTACAATGAAATAAAAATAGCATTGTCAAACAGTAAATACATTATTCCCGATTCCAAAAGCCATTTCGACTGTTCCCATCTTCAACCGAGATATTAATTAAAAATTCTGAAAATACTAATTTTTGCACACATTTTTCTGAGTGGCAACAGTCTCGCACGTTGGAGATAAAAATGCTTCATTTCGAAAAGCGCTGCTACTGCTCGTTTTAAAATTGTAGAGTTTGTTAATAAAAAATTTCTACGCTTTACAAAATCTATCTATATATAAAGAAGAATGTCTGTTTCAGTATTTGTTTCTTTGTCCAGATTACTGATTTCTGATCAATTATGACCAATTTTTTGCCACATTTAATCGACTAAAATTTAATATATGAGAAATATTGGATGGAACTTGAGCTTTTATGAGCATTTGATTAGAAAGACAGAAATCATTCAAAACTCTTTGCCATTGTTGCTGATAATTAGAGAGCATCTGTTTATTTTTCTATCGACATTTTTTATGTGGGTTCCATATCACATCAGAGTGAAAAGTGTATGACTACGAATTATATTTTTTGCATTGTTATTAGAGAAGTATTACAGCGATATCATTCTCTCTGTTGTTATATACGTTACTGTCAATAACTTAACTGGCATCAGGTACTTTGGCTGGTAATAAGTAAAAACTTAATAAGAAAGTGTATGACCAGAATGTGTGAGAGTTTTAATAATTTCCTTTATGAATTCATTTAAAAATAAAGACTGGAGTTGGGGAAAACCTGGAAATAATATTTTTCCAATTAACTTTTTTTCGGGGGGGGGGGGGGGGGGGAGTAATTTTGGAGGTATGGTGCACATGCAGTTCTTTAGTTAGATGTTTCAAAGCAGATGTTTGCATGGCTGATACAGCTTTCTGATGTTCAAGTTGAATTTAGTTACAAATTTATCACTAATTTTTAGCATATCACCTAAAAAAAAGCTCTGCCGTCAGGTATATTTAAGTGAGAAATTTACTTTCACAGATGAAAAGCTATACTTAAAAATGTATGTTAGACTGTATGATACATGTATACCACGAAAAGCCCAAGAAACTAAGTGGCATGCTCAGTGGTGTAAGAAAACAAATACCGTATATTCCAGCGTATAATGCCCTTTTCATTACAAAAAAAATCTGAAAGATAAGTGTGCGATGTTCTTGGCTTCTAAGTCATTCATTCAAAGATTTTTTCCAGGCGTTCAAACAATAGTATACTGAACTGAGAAGCAATATGGGAAACAATACATGTATGGGGGGAAAATATGCGGTCTACCGGAAAGTTCTGTTCGTTTTTGGAATAAAACAAAATACAAATTTTTCTTACTGTCAGTAATCTTTATTAAAATAATATAATTGTCATTATTATTAATGACTTCTTGCCAGTGTGAGGGCAATTTGTATATCTCATTTTTGAAAAATGATGTAACTTTTGATGCGAAAAAATGAGCTGGTGCTTGTTTGATATCTACTTCATTTTTGAATTTTTTTGCTCTTCAAAAAATTTTGTAAGGGCAAAAACAAGTGAGAGTCAGAGGGTGCTAAGTATGGGGAATATGGTGTATGTGACAGTTCTGCAATTTTTTTATGAGTCCCCAAAGCAGCATGTAGCCTGGCATGATCATGATGCAGTACGAGGTCCTTCCTGTTGAAAATCGCCGGCTTCGTTTCTGTGACTGTTGTCTTTAAATTGTCTAATTGCTGACAGTACTTCTTGGAGTTGAGCTCTTTGTTCAGTTTTAAAAGCTCATAATGTACTGGTCCTCGAATGCCCCACCATATAGACAACATTCTCATTATTCAGGGTCAAATTTAGTATAGAGGTGGGATGGCTAGGTTTTCTGGGTTCACAATATGCCCTTTATCTTACCAAGTTTCTATGGGTGATCCACTTTTCATTCCCAGTTATCATCCGGTTCAAGAAGGTCTTCATTTTGTTCGGAGCAAGCAGAAATGTGCATATGATGACTCGATCATCCAAATTCTTCAATTAATGTGGCACCCAATTTGAATATTTCTACACCAATCCTAACTTCCGAATATGGTTAGAAATGGTTTGCTGAGCTGAATTAAGCCTTTCTGCAATCTCTGATGTTGTCATAAAAGGATCTTGCTCCAACATGGTCGTAACAACACCGTCGTCGATCAAAGATCATCGCCCAGAATGTGGCTTATCAGAAAGTTTTAAATCACCTGTTTCAAATTTTTTTAACCATCTTCAGCATGCCTTATCAGAAACTGTACCTTCCGCAAACACTTTCAATAAATTTCTACATGCTTCTGTAGCATTTCTTCCTTGTTGAAATTCGTATAAAATACAGTGGTGTAAATGAACATTATCAGTGGCCATGGGTACACTATCGCTTCCCACTTAAGACTAACGTGAATCAACTCTGTTTTAGTTAACGTGCTACTTCAGTATGTATACATTAAGGGATAAAAATAGAGAGCCGAATATACGGCAAATAAACATGTGCTTAAGTGTCGAAAATTGTTGTCATAAAACGGGCATAGCTTTCCGGTAGACCGAATACTTGACAGAGTAAATAATTCTGCAAAAAAAGGTACAGGTATTTGATGCAGATGTGCACAAGAATGTTATTCTAGGGTTTTGAGAAAAGGGGGAAAAAGGTAAAAAAGCCTTTCCTACTCGAATGAATTTGCGGAATTAGTAAACAGATGTTTTTTCCTTCTGTAGTTTTTTGAAGCTGTTATTTTGAAGTGAACATCTAAGGCTTTAACAAATCGCATTTGCTATAATTGAAATACAGTGGGTCTAGTGTTCCCTTTAGTAGTAAATATGATTCCTGCTAAACAAAATAACACCGTGCTGGTTTCGAAGGGAAGTCATTCAGTTTGCAAAAGAAAATGGGAAGTGTGCTGCAGCATGGATGTTTGGTGTGGTAAAAGATGGAACGGATTGTGATTATTTATTTATGGATCAGAGTAATAATGATGGCGAAGATGAAACAAAATTAGATAATGTGCCTGAAGATATAATGGAAGACAAACATGAAATTTTTAAGTTCTCTGTCATTTCTTTTAAGTAAACAGTACTTAGGTACACATAAAAATATAATTTTTGTTACGCTGACTTTTTTCCTTAATTTACTCTATCATTTTTATCCGCCATATGATGTGTATATGTAAATTTCGATCTTCTCTTTTTTTTTTTTTTTTTTTTTTTTTGTTTAATAAAAGTGTGCATTATATGCCAGAATATATGGTAAATTTTTTTAGAACTGTAGTCAAGAATATCACAAGAGAGTGTGAATAAAAAAAATTTTTTTTCCTTGGTACTCTGCAATTGCATTCAAAGATGGTTACATTTTTCTTTTTGATTATATTCTTCATTGGGAGGGGGAAAAAAAAAATCTGTAGAAATTTTTAAATCCTAAAAACATCTACAAAAATCTGAAAACTGCTTTTTTTGCTTACTTTAAAATATTACATTGGCATGTTCTAATGAGGGATGCTTTTCAAATATTAAGGGTATAGCATCAGTCCAAAAATTTGTAGAAACGCTATGGCCAGTTTACAAATGAACTTATGACACTAAATTAAAGACATTAAATATAGTTCACACACAAACTTTTGCATTTTTCTAATTAAAATGATGTGAAAGTGCCATTTATGATTTTTGGCATTTCTATATTAAATTACTTGAATTTCATTGGTATTTTGAAGGATATTTTTCCTCATCTGTAAATGTTATCAAAACAGCTGGGGACAAACATGATCAATCACATTAAGTAGTAACTACTGGAAATACTTTTTTGTGACAACGAGTTGCTATATTATAGCTATCTTGGCAATATACTGTTTTGTCTCTAAATACTTATGTGACCTTTCACCCAAAGAAAGAAATTTCACAGTGTAAAGATTTGACAAATGAGATGGCTTATGAAGAAAGTCACTGCTTCATCTGCAACACATCTGATCCAGCTTCATGAAAGAACAAAAGTGAAAAGCACTTGTGATCCTATGAAAATCCCTAAATTTGCAAAACATAATTACAACTTGCATTTAGTTAGAATAACAATCTTCCTTTCCTTACCTATCTGGAAATGAGTCTACAATCGCAGTTGCTTCGGGAAAGAAAATAAGACCCTTTTTTGTGAAACACAGCATAAAAAAATTTTTTTTGACTTATGAAGGACCAAGTTGGCTGTATTTTCTTTAAATTTTTGTAAATTCAAGCCACATAGTAATTACAGTTCTAGATACCTCACAGCATTCCCCCTTCTCACAAAACGAAGCACAAGAAGTAAAATCCTAACAGTGCACGAGAAACTCAAACAGCTGCTGCTGGTAACAGTATGGGTTGTGACTATGCAAGGTGAAAAATAAACAAATAATCAACTTTTGAAAATGTGCATTTCTTTTGTGCATGTTCTGTAAAACAGAAGGCTGATAGCTTGTAAGATGAAATGAAAGAGATAGTACAAGATAAAATTAACTTACTCCTTCAGGTTTCCCCACCACTAAATGAGTACAAGAATTTGAAAAATTCAACTGAAAAGTGCCTCCGTAAAATGTTACCATTGCCCATAACTTTTTTTTGTCTTCTACACTAATCTGAAAAAAAAAAGGGGGGGACTGCTTTTTCAAAAGTTCTTGAAAATTTCAAATGGAAAATAATTTAGTACACAAAACTGAACATTTTATTTTACCTTATCAACAATTATTGATAAATTATCAAAAATTTAGCTTTGATACAAAACTTTATAATTATATATAAAACCAACTATTATACTAAAATTATTAAAATTCCACACATATATTTTAAATATTTCTTTTGTATACATTTAAAACATTTAGTTCTCCATGAGTTTTTAGGCACACAATAAATATGCATTACAAGCACATATGTTCATTTAGTAAAAACACATGTTCTGAACAATGGATGCCTTTAATTGCACAATTAACCCCTTTTACAAACCTTATAAAATTTAAATATTTTATGATTATGAAAAAAAAACTATGAATTATAAAACATACTGATGCCATATTCAAAAAAATTATTGCAGAATACCATAAAACATTTAGAAAAATCATCAAAGAATCAGATGATAATTTATGGCCAAATTTTATTTCAGAAATATTACAAATGAATAAATACAAAAATTAATACAAATAAAAACTTAATACTCTTAAGAATGCACCACAAAGAATAAATGCCCGGAAAAGAAATTGTTAAACCAAAGTTGCATATACTATAGATGCTTTTCAAAAACATTTTTAGACAGCAGATATAAATGTTTAATTTCAGATTAAAAATGAATTCTTAGTATAGTAAATATACAAAAAAGCTCTAGCAAATTAATATTATAAATCTTTAACAAAGCATATTTAATCACAGATTATATATTAAGTTAGACATTTAAGTAGATAATACAAAAAAAAAAAAAAAAAAAAAAAAAAAAAAAGAAAGAATATTTTAAATAACAGTTGATTAATTTCAAGAGGAAAAGCAAATGTCATTGATTTGTTTCTACATAAAGCACGTTTTCAGCGCCATTTAAAGGTCAGTGACTTAGTTATATATATATATATATATATTATATATATATAAATATATAAAAAAAAAAAAGCTTATATTGTTTATTCAATGTGCTTGCTTCTGGTAAAAATATTACCATATTTTGTAATGCAGTACAAAGTCTGGAAATCCGGACTCGTCGGGGACTTCGGAGATTCCAGATATTAGATCATCAGTTTAAATCTAGTAAGATAGCATGTAGAAATTATAAAATTAAAAATATATGAAATCGTGATTTATGAAATAATGAAGTATTTATGATCTAAAGGGTATCAAAATTAAAAAAAAAAAAAAAAAAAAAAAAAAAAAAGCTTAATATTTATTTGTTTACCTTAACAAACATTTCTTTCAGTGTAAGTTGTTTAAGTTGCTTCAATTTTTGTGCTAATACTTTCTCTTTAATTTTGTAGACAGACATAATCTCTTGTTCAGTTACATTGTTAAAGTCTGGAACTGGTGTTTGGATAATTCTTATTAACTTGTCAATCTAAATTTTCTCTTTTACAGTAACTTCTCTGTCACTTTCTTCACTATCGGTAGCATTATTTTGTCACTTTCTTCACTATCGGTAGCATTATCTGGATCTACAACCATATTACAGATTTTCGCCATTTATTGATTGATGATTGAAAAGCATTGTCATCACAATGAAAAACTTCTTTATATCACCTTCATTTATTACCGTTTCTACACATTTCTTTACAAAATCTGTTAATTGGAAAATTTCGCCTTTGTTTTGCAATATCCGTAAACCTTTAAAATTTGCAGCTATCATCATCAAATTTAGCTATCCTTACTATACATATTTGGCTATGCATCATGAGTTTGGCGACTAACGACAAGTTGTTCCGCTAAATTTTATCTTGCTTTTATCGCGCACTGAGACAATTAAGCCTGAATTGTATTAGTTATTTATTATACTTGTGTCTATTTCTTGCACATGCTGAAGACTTACCAGAATTCTGAATAAATAAATTCCCACACATACTTAATCCTTATTGAAGGCCGGTGCTAGATATCTTACCGCCTGATGCAGTCTCTGTGAGTCCTAAATTCTGCGACTCACTGCAGCTATACGAGCCCTGGCACTGGTTCTGGGTTTAAGTAAATAACAAATCAGTTATTCTTAATTCAAATAGCCCTAAATGTAAACTTTCGGTCTATGAGTATCCTTAACAAAATCTATTTTTAACATATGGAAAGAAATTTTGGGTAAATATTTCCTCATCAACAATTTTTAGCACATTCAATTTAAATCTGTAATCATCGCCAAGTGATAACAATGCTCATTGTCAACATAAAAGTTTACCATACTCCTTTATTATTCAATTACTAACATAAAAAAAATTGTTTAAGCATCAGTACATGTATCATTATTCAAGTTGTCATGTTTTGATAAACATGCAGTGATGAAAGGATAGTATAATAAATAATGATTCACCAGGTTGGCATCAGATCAACGATGTATCTATGTGAAATGTTTCGGTTTCTGATGTGTGCCAAGCACATATGCAGCAGCAGAGCAAAATTACTGATGGTACAAATTTATGCTAAAATGATTGTTTCTTCAATAACAAGGTATTTTATTTAGCGTCGAAGTGAAATTAAGAATTTGGACTCTCTAGATGTTTTATTATGCACGGAGGCAGGAATCAAATGCGTAAAGCCTACAAGGAAAACTTTGTAGGTGGTTTTGAGGTCCCGATTTTACATCATTCTGGATAATGGATTTCCGGATTTTGGACTTTGCACTGTATATGACATTTATCCTTTCTGAGAAAAATCAATTAACTTTTATTTGTAACTTTTTGAATATCACTTGCATTATTTTATTTGCAACTTCCTAAGTATCAGTTGTCAGATACTTCATATCCACTTAAATGGCTCACTTTATGAAGTATTTTCTCCCTCGTTTCTGCATGCCTTTGTGGTGTAATGGTAGCACACTTGGTGTGTATCCGAGAAGTCAAGGTTCGAGATCCGTCGACAGCATTGCTCATTTTTCACGTCTCCTCCTTCAAAATATCCTAACAACTCTACAGTAGCACCCAAACTAAAATAGCAGCAGATGATGATTTTCCACCACTAGGATTTGGCAAGTTCCCTAATCCTCAGTCAACCTTTCAAAGGGGAAGTATACGAGGGCTATTCAGAAAGTAAGGATTTGTTTCCGTCTGACGTCGCTACGCACGTGCCAATCACGTACATTTTGGTGTCTGCGTGCTCAGAATCTCAGTCGCTGTCCAGCCATTACTACGGGAACGTTTACATGCTGCCTGTTCTTTCGATATTCAAATTTAAAATGTGCGCTGCAATTAAAAATCCTGCCAGTTGTGAGGTGCAGTCTGTGATACAGGTTTTGTCGGCAAAAAAAAATAAATAAATAAATAAAACCTATGGAAATTTATTGGCAAGTGTGTGAAGTGTATAGAAACAATGTAATGAATGAAAGTTCAATCCGAAAATGGTGCATTCAGTTTAAAAAATGGCTGAACTAACATTCACGATGAAGAGAAGTGTGGACACCCTAGCATTGTGATTGACGAACTGGTCGCTAAAGTTGTTGTTGTGAAACGGCACTTTCGCTTAGTTTCCCATAAGTTTCATGGACTTTCTTGTTTGAAATGGTCACACAAAAGTTAGGCTACCGCAAATTTTATGCAAGATAGGAGCCGAAATTGCTTACAGACCACCATAAAGGTCAGTGAATGTGGGCAGCTTTGACATTTCTGGAGGCCTACAACAGACATGGCGATTCATTACTGGAACGAATCGTAACTAGTGACGAGACATGAGTGAGACACGTGAATTGCGAGACAAAATTACAGTCCATGTAGTGGGGGCACATAAGTTCCCCCAAAAGACCAAGAAAATGTTTGCAAACCTTGTCACCAAAAAAGATTATAGTGACTGTGTTTTGGGATAGGTAAGGTGTGCTTCTGATTGGTTTTCTTGAAATAGGTGCCACAATAAACTCTGAGCAGTACTCTCAAACTTTGCGCAATCTTAAGAGAGCAGGTCAAAAAAGCATTGAGGAAAGTTGACGTCCAAAATTTTGTTTTTTGCACGACAATGCCCGACCTCGCACAGCAAACCACACTCAAGAACTCCTTAATTCATTCAAATGGGGAGGTTTTCCCTCATCCACCCTATAGTCCTGATCTTGCACCTAGAGATTTTCACTTGTTTCCAAGAATGAAGAACTGGCTAGCAACACAGCACTTTTACGATGATAAGGAGCTGTGGGTGCGCGTCACTGAGTGGCTGAGATCGCTGGCGGCAGATTTCTATGACGAAGGAATTTCAAAGCTTCTCCACCGCTATGATAATTTCCTCACTTTGTTTGGTGACTATGTAGAAAAGTAGAATTTTAGTCACTCTTTCTGATGTATATAATAATTTTTTTTCTTGTACTTAGTTTCTTTTTAATTCCAAAACTTTCCTTACTTTCCAAATAGCCTACATATAAAATATTTTCTACCTCTTTTTTGCATGCCTCCGTGGTGTTATGGTAGCACACTTGGCGTGTATTCGAGAGGTCCAGGTTTGAGTCCCGGCGAGGGCATTAGTCATTTTTCTCATCTTGTGCTTCAAAATATCCTAATGACTCTACAGTGGCCCCCGAACTAATAAAGGTAGCGGATGATGATTTTTCACCATCAGGATTTGGTAATTGGGTCTACGAATCCCCAGGAGCTTAAGACCTTTTGTTTTATGAACAACTCGTTAGATGAAATATATCAACATATAATGAATGGTATGACAACACAACAAATGAATTTCACAAATCAGACTCATCATTTTATAAACATACTCAGAATAAATCTGGAAAAGAGTAATGAACAGAGCTCACCTGAGAAGGGCAGAAAACAAGACCAGAAAATAGTTGAGTTTTGACTGGAGAAAATCCTGCTAAGCTAAAATATTATTAAGGATAAATGCATTATTTTTATTTAAACCATAAAGTAATGAAGTATGTTGAGAACAAAGACAGAGATAATGCAGAGAAAAATGTTAAAACTAGTTATTCACCAGTATAAATGCATTTACGGACTGGGTGGGAAAATTACAAGGCAAAATATATCTTATTTAAAAATAAAATTTCCTACCAGTGGCATCACTTGTGCAGCAGAAGGCATAAAGTACAGTTTGGAGAAAATGGCACTGCATTAAATAATAAATATACTTTTCATTCCCTAAAAACATGCATTTCACACACACAAATAATAATAATAATAATAATAATAATAATAATCATTGAAAGTGGAAAAAAATAGAATCTTAACTCTGACCATTTCTCTTGACCAAATGCTGAAGTAGTCAAACAAGGCCTAAAGTAATGTAGAATGATTACATATTTCGGATTATGGTCATATCAGTTGTTCATTGCTAAAAACAATCAGACTTATGGCTTTCGCCAGTTACACAAATGAGAGACAAAGTATTTTAATTATTTTACATTTCACAGCAAATGAAATGTAATGCAAATGTAATAATTAGCAAATGATATGGGTTAAATTAAAATTCTGAAAATGTAATACATTTATATGTGCTTTTATAAAACTCACAAATGATTATAATGCAGAAACTCTAAAATACTATTTTTCTATGTATATATGAAATGGAAAACATGACTTCAAATAAATCTGAAATTCCTCTGACAAAATAATAAACTTAGATATTTCTTTCCTCATTTCTCCATGATGTCATGGTGTAACTGGAATCACGCTCGACAAACATTCAGGAGGTCTGTAGTTCGAATTCCGAAGATTGCAAATTTCTTCAGTTTCCTGACATTGAAAAAATTCTAAACTCTACGAGATTATATAAGGTGTTTTCTCTCTCCTTCCTGCATGCCTTCATGGTATAACTGAAAGCACACTCAGTGCATATTCAGGAGAACCGGAGTTTAAATTCTGGAAGGGGACTGCAGATTCCTTCATTTTCCTGAAATCCAAAAAAATTGCGATGACCCTATAAGTGGCGCCCCAACTAAAAAGGTGGTGAACAATAATTTGTCACCACCAGGATTTGGTGATTAGATCCCCTCACCCCTAATCACCATTTAAAAGGAGAAGTATACAAAGCATTTTCTCCCTCTTTTCCGCATGCCTTCTAAAGCCCCATTCACAAGAGCAGATTCGACCGGTAGTGAAAACCGGTTTCTCCAACGTATCCCATTCACATGGGACAAGCATTAACTGCCTCCCCGAATTGGAGGTAGAACTTGGTTGAATGTTCCTTACCTCTCGGGAGCAGGGCAAATGAGGAGATTTCCCATACTATACTGCGCGGTTCACATAATTTTAGTTACGGCTCACTGGACTGTCAGCGAAACAATCGCACTGATAGATGTCTGGGAATGTGATAGCATCCCCCCAAAAAGTAGAACTGTACAAGATACGAAAATTATAGAGAAATACACACAAGTTATCTGATGCTAGGTTTTCCAGAAATATCGTTCAAATTAAAACTAAGACAAGTGCATATCGACTTCAATGCGAAGAGGGACTCAGTACCTTTTGAATGGTTTTTTTTTTTTTTTTTAAATTTAAGAATGTTCATCTACTTTTTATGAATATTATTAAATGATTTTGTGAGACAAAATAATTTTAAGCTGAAAAAAAGTTTTTGCTAGTAATTTTTTTTAATTTAAATTTTTGAAGAAAAATTTTACAATTAAAATGTCTTTCTTCTACAATTTTCAATGTCTTCCCCCCAGTTTTTTTATTGTATTTATTAGTTCTTAATAACTTCAAGAAATGAATTTGCAATTAATGAATTAGTTTCTGAGAAATTTGCAAAACCAATCCTTGTTTCTATAATTATAATCTAAGTATATAATTTTAAATAAGCAGTAAAAATAATAAATAATTTAGTTCATACCTGTATATGTTTTAGGACTTTAAGTAAAAGGATTTATCGAAAAAAATGCAAAAGGTTTCTCAGTTTGCATTTGCAGTTTAAAGAATACAAACTGTCTAAAACAGACATTTAATCATCTCAAATCTTTAAAATTTTATTACTGAATTTCAATACACATATATATATATATATATCTATATATATATAAAACCTAGTGCTATTTAATAAATTGGTAAATAGAAATATAAATTACAAACTTTTTTTAAAATGTTATATATTTTTTTAAAATGTGTGGCCAGAAAAATTGCAAAAAATCATAAAAAGCAAGCAGAATTTTTCTTTACCTGTTTTTGTTTTGTAAAACACGTTTAAAACAATTTTAATACATTAATTAATTATAATATTGTTGCGTGTGTACGGGTTTGTAATAGATTGATAATAGTTCGCAAATGATTCTCATTGCACTCAAATCTGATGATAGCTTAATTAAATTTATTTTATCACAGAAACACTTCAAAGTCTGGAATTTCCCACAGAAATCTCGTACAAGTGTGTTAGAATATCACTAAGTATAATCATTAGTTACGCTTCAATCTAATAAGAACGTTAAACACAATGGAATGCTAAACGCATCTTAAGAGAAAGTTAACTCAAAAATATCTCCAATCTCACGCTGAAGTAACAACTGGCAACAATAACAACTTATATAGTATAAATAATGTCATAAAAATAGTGTGGTATAATGAGATTATTACTTTGAATCGGATGTTTTGAATTGATGCCCAAGAAGAACCAATATTTCCCATTCTGCTTCATTGCATATCTTTCAAAAAAGTTTTAAAAAATCATTCAATTAATTTCCTTTATCATTTTTTTTAAATGCGAAAAGTTTGTTTTATAAGCTATGAAAATGTCGGAAGTTTGTAACCGGTATATTTTTAGATATGAAATTTTAAAATTAATGGCGTCAAAAAGTCTAAAAATATGAACGATTTTCAAAAATTTTCCCAAAATATTTTTAAAAAATTATGCTAAAAATTTCATTTAATTTTTTTCCTTCACAGTGTGTTATGGTGCAAACTATAATATTCTGAGATTTTCAGTTTATTTGTTAATATTTGAAAAAATAATTTCAACTTTAAATTTGAAAAAAAATCTAATCCTCTAAAAATCAAAAGCATGACACCACATCCACAAGCAGTATACATACTTGTCAACCTATGACACTCAAAAATCAGGAGATTTTTTTAAGAAATCAGGAGATTTTTCACAATGTTAAAAAGACTTTTTAAATGATAAAAATATAGTTTTTAATAATGAATTACTTTAAATAGTTACTAAGTCTTAAATGCAAGCAAAACAAAAATACCTTAGACATAAAAAACATTTTATTACTTTCATCGTTTAAAAAAAAAAAAAAAAAAAAAAAAAAAAAAAAAGGCACTTTAATCAGTTTTCATACAAATGTTATGGACAGTGGCAGATTTTGCTCTCGTTAAGAAAGAAACTTCATAATTTTGTTCATAGCAATTGCCACATAGGCCTGCTTTCGCTATTAAAAGTTTTTCTAATGTGTCATCACTAATATTAGATCTAAATTTAGTCCTCGTTTTTGCAACACTGAAAATCCTCTCACACTCTGCATTACTATGGGGAACTGTCAAGATGGCCAACATAATTCTAGAGAGTTCACTATATTTTAAAATTCCATCAGCACCTTTCAATTTTCCAATTAACCTCCACTGGGTGTCAATCCTAGCTGATTTTATAACTTCATTCAAGTTTTCTAATTGTAAACTGCAAAATTGTGACTGCAGTATATCAGTAGCAACATCAATATCATCATCTTTCATGACTAAAACGAAGTAAACCAGGAAATCTGTTCAAAAAGTACCTTATATAAAAAAAGATGCATTTGCTAGAGCAAACATCAGCAACTTTAGCATGCAAAATCACTTCATCGTTGACTGGAAATTTATGTAGTGTGTAATCACATACTGACAGAAGTAATTTCTAACTGAAGTAAAACTTATTTTTGTCTTAAGTTCTTCCACTACTTTTGTAGTTGCAGCTCCTATTACCAAATCTTCATCTTCCTTCTGATTTTCTGTTTCACCATAAATCACATCATATATAGAATTACAAGACAAAACACAGACTGGTTTTACAAACTTTGATAAAATGTCTTTAAACAGATCATAAATCATTGATTGCAAACATGAATTAATGGAATTCTGCTTTGTAGAATTGTGTTCAGAACATCGAATGATGGCAAAATGAATTGTAAAAAAAAAAGCAAAAGCTTTGTTAAGGTCCGAAGAAAAAAAAATAAATATTCGTTCTTCACAAGATAAACTTACAGTAATCGGAAAATGTTTCGTGTGTTGAGCAATTTTTTTTTTTTTTTTTTTAAAAAATTTTGAGAGAATTTGTATCAGCTTTACGCTTATATTTTGCAGTATTATTTTGAGAACTGCCAGTTGAATTGCTGAATGATGCAGAAATTACAAAAAATCAAAATTTTTCTCATTTCAGTATTATGCAGCTGTTGGAACTGTTTCAATTTTTCCTTTCTTTTAGAACTCCTTTCAAGATAATAATAAATATCAACAATGTGTTCATCCACATTTAATGGTAAAGAAGCTGCCCCTTTTTCAGCTGCTAAATTTAAGAGCTGACAGGTGCACCTCATAATCTGCAAATCTGAATTTGCCTTTCTTAAGATGCCTGCAACATCAGTCTTCAAGCCTACCATTACTGGTGCATTATCAGCACCAAGCGCTAAGCAACTATCCAGAGGGACTGCATTTTATTTTAAAGTTTTAATAATTAGCTGTGCTATATTAAAGCCTGTCGAATGTCCTTCTAAAGTGGGGACAGAAAGTAAACTGCACTCAATTTCTGAAGACTCTGGATTAAAAAAAGAAACAACAATTGGATACAGTTTTGAATTGGTATTATTGCTTCCATCCGTAGAGAGGCAGAACGGAGCTGTTTTAATGCAATCATAACTGAAGATTTATTTTTCAAACCCATTTCTTTAACAATTGCACCTGTTTTTGGTCCTTGCACTTGAGTATTTCTTAGCGATTTCACTATCGGGAAACATTTTTTTTCTAAATAAAGCTGCAGCGTGATCCGATGCATTCAGTGGCAGGTTGTGCTCCAGTAAAAAGGCAGAGAACAGACATTCTGCATTAATCACTTTTTGGTCTTTTGTTTCCGAAGAAAAATTTAATTTTTCGTTTTTTCAAAACAACTCATGTTGTCCTTGTGTTTTTGTGTACGCACATGTTTGAGAACATCTGCCCTTCCACCAAGCGAAATTGAAAAATCGCAACGACAGATGGTACACCTCAGAAATATATTACATTTCCTTGAACAAATAATGGAAGGAAAGTCAACTGTGTACGATTTTTGAAACGTGCACGAGTATTTCACCTTTCTCGCAGACACAATCAAAAGACGATAATTTCTAAAACTCTCTCCCTAAAGGCACGTGCACTCACACAACTCAGGACAAGATGAACGAAATAACGAAAGAACATCGAAATAACGGCCCAACGGCCAAAGAATTTTCTTTGCAATGGCCTTGAGCTTGCTTTGTGCTCATTGGCGAATATATGCCAGATGATACGCAGTGGAGCTCGATGCCCATTGGAGAACTGGATAACGAACGTTTCTGGATACGTATGCTGTCAACTCACAAAGCAGAAATTCTCACCTGATTCGCAAGGTTTTCATTTTAGATATAATCTAGAGAAAATTCAGTTGCTTTCAGACGTCCAAAATCACTTTTTTTTGGTTCATATAACAAAGTATTAAGCCAAGTTCCATAAAAATCGTGAGAAATATTAAGAATAAGAAAAAGTCGGGAGAAATATATTGTAAATCGAGTTGGCGGGAGAGCGGTCGAAAATCGGGAGTCTCCCGCCTAAATCGGGAGAGTTGGCAACTCTGAGTATATGTACAAAGTTTGAATTCTATATCTTATTGGGAAAAATCCATGACCATCTTTTAACCATAGCGACAAGCACCAAGAATGAACTAAATAACAGCTTATAAAATACCATATTTGACGGCATATAAGACGCTCTTTTTTTCCTAAATTTTGTCTCAAAAAAGTTACCTGCGTCTTATATGTGAAGGATACAGGTTAACTTTCAATACTGAATGCTATTTTTAGCCCGGATAAAGGTCTACACACACATAACGTTTTCTACATCTGCCCTAATTATTTTGCGCATGCGTGAAATATCTGTAAAGGCTGAAGTAATTGTTAAGTCCTTTAAGAAGTGCGAAATCAGTAATGCTCTTGACGGAACAGAAGACGACACATTATTCGAAAAAGGTGATACTAGCAATGACGGAAACAGTAGTGATGATGATATTCTCGTTTTCGATGATGATGATGATAGTGAAAAGGATATTTATGGTTTTGAAAGTGATTAAAGTCTAATTTCATGATAGGCAACGTTTTCCTTAAACCTGTGTTTTTTGTTGTTTCTGCTTTATTTTGTATTATGTTTGATTGCTTGCCGTTCGTTCATTTATTCATTATTGAAATTTACATATCATGTTCAAAATAGCTTGCCATTTGTTAATTTTCCTTAATAAAAATATGTTTGGTAATTGGATTCAGTGGTTGTTCATTTGGCTTTTACAAAACGTGAGAACTAAAAGAAACCACATTTTAAGTTATTTTGATACCGCGCTGTCGTGCAAACTAACTATTGAAACTTTTTTTCCTTGCCTTCTAAATAAGGGTGCATCTTATATGCCGTCGAATACGGTAATAATAATAATAATAATTAAAAAGCATATATTTTTCAGGAACTATTACGAAAGTTCAGGTACCAGTTGCGAAAGTGCAGATTACAAAATTAACAACAGTAAACAACATTAAAAATGTGTAAACAGTATTAGAAATCTGCCAATTCGGAGACGTGATTGTTCACAGAGGCTTAGGTGTAAAGGGAAGGAAGACTGGTCTTCTGAACGGGTCCTAAAGACAAAACTCTTTCATGTCTCCTTTTTCTCCTCTTGCTAACGACAGCTGTGCGAAGGAGCGTTGCATGTGAACAGGGCTATAGTATAACTGGAAGTCCACTCAATGTGTATTTTGGAGGTTCAGAGTTCGAATCGTGGCGAGGACACTAACTTTTTTCACATTCCAACAGTGATATAACCTAATGACTCTACAAGCTATTTCAGTACAGCTATAGCACATGGCATAAGCAGTAATGAGGGGTAAATGTTGTGAGTATATATTCCACTTTCTAAGTTACCTATCATTAGTATTGGCATTCATTTTTATGTGAGTGACATGTTAGATCATTGATACAGATGAACTGAGTACAAAAAGAGCTGCGCTAAAAAATACTAAAATTCCCCATTCTGTTGTCGCCCTAAAGTTAACCACTGTCTCTTTGCAATAAAATCAACTTCTATTTGTTCATTCCTGACATTACCGTCTAACTGCCATATCACTTTAAATTGCCATATCAAGCTGCTTTTATTTTTATTTATTTATTTATTTTAATAATTTGCTCATTTACACTTTTTATAGTCCAATGGTAATGCCTCTTCATTCAATGTACATTCATTGCCACAGTTTGTAAAAACTGTGACAATGAATGTACTTGCAATGACAGCAAATCCATCAAAGAGGCAGTGTTACTGAAATAGTGGGTACCCATAATCAAAACCTAATAGAAGTTTTGCCCTTGAATCAAAGTTTCTCATTAATATACCTTCAAGATGTTCAGTTTCAATAACCATTGGTGAAGTTTAATCCTGCATGTATTAGACTGAAATATTTTTTGTTTATTGTATAAGGCTACAATATTTGTTTGTTGTATAAAGCTTACTGTATAGTTTTGGACAAAGTTTTAAAACAACTAATTTGATATCTTAGAGTGTATTGTTGCTTTCATAAAACAAATAAAATACGTCAAATTAAAAGCACGGCAAAATCTTTATTCAAAAATTAAATTCATTTCTGAAGGCCCTTCGTCATCTGAAATATTCATACAACAAAAACGTTTTCCCCTTCAGAATTTTAATGTAAAATGGATTAATCCATTCCTGGACCACAGATAATTGCTTATTTGAAATTTACAAGAGTATTTTAGGCACAAGTTCATAATACAAAACCAATGAAAATAATCTTGTTTAAGAGCAAAAAAAGGTAAACACAAAGCTAAGCAGATGAAATAACAAAAATTCAATTTTACCATACCTATATGCAGAATGTATGGCATAAGTGGAAAGTGATGAGAAAGGGAAGAGGACACCTTTCATCTTTTCTTTGTCTTTTAGCATTACTTGACACTGCCTCTATTTCACTCAAAATATGACCAATGTGATCTAGCTATGTTTTAAAATGTTTACAAATAACACAACAGTTATTGAAAATGATTATACTGTGGCTTGCTCAGTTTCATCTGGATGATATTGTTACATGAAACTTTGTACCTTGCGTTATTTTGCATAAAGATTGAGGATCACAGAAATACAGTCATCTTCCCATCCTTTTTCTTTCTCTAAAGAAATTTTTCCCACAGTCATGTTTTTTTTTTCTTTTTTTTTTTTTCTGTTTCTGAAAGTTAATTTTCGTCGTCCTCCAGCAAGTCATGCATATCTTTAGTGTTAACTTCCAACCATGGCTTTACCTACAGATGCAATATCATAAATAACATAAAAAAACAACAATTAAAAAAAAAAAAAAAACCCACTTCAGTGTCAAAATTAAAAAATTTGTGCCTGAAACACAATTTGGCCATAATTTCCTCCAGGACAAATTCATTGTCCTGTAAGTCACTTGCTGCCAGCCTTCAAAGAGTTGCTGCTAATTAGTTAAGTAACAGAAATATTAAAATGATGTTTCCAGAAATATTTTAGTGTTAATTCTATACTACATGTTATCTTTAAATACCTTTGAAAATCCTTCGTTGTCTAGTTAACTGTTCAAAACTCAAAACATCATTTGTTACTTGAGACTTTTGTTCAGATAATATATTTGTGAACCAATCTGTTCATGCTGAGAGCTTTTTGTGAACCGAGGTTCCACTATATTAATATATGAACATAAGATCCTTAGAATAGCTATAGTTTTATAAAAGAATAAAAAAACAAATATTCTTTGATTATATTTTAAAAAACATATTAAGAAATTAATTTTCAAAGAGAAGAATGGAAAGGATACGGCAGCAGCTTATTGCATTTTGCAGATAACAATACCCAGCGACTCTGGGGGGGGGGAAAAAAAACTGTGATTAAAATATATACAGCACATTTAAACCATTTTATCATTAAACATTATAAAAATTTAAAAAAACATGTGATTAAAGTCTGTATAATCAGTTGAAAAAAATTTAGCATTGCAAAATATTGATAATACTTTAATATATTGATATAAAATATAAAATATTGATAATCGTGAAAATATGCTATAGTTCAATTATACAATTTTATATTATATAAGTTATAAAACAGAGTGTTTGTACAAAGTGAAATTTTGATTACAGGTATTCTTCTGCTATGTAAAAATCTTTCATTTATTCATCTGTTTAGTAAACTTGGATAAAGTTAAATTCATTTTGAGGCTACGGTTTCAGGATTAGTATAAAAATTTTGAAAAAATATGAAGCTCACAAGTCTGTTTAAATGTAAAAAAAATTCAGTTTTGATAAAATACTACAAAAATCTACCTCGTAAGAGGATAAAATTCAGTTCTGACATATGTGCATAACTAATTTTATAAGAGGAAAAAATTTTCTTTTGACTTAGTTAGGTACAGCAATTATATTTCGAAATATTTTCAGAGATATCTGGTATCACTGAAAACAATAAATATATTTTTCTAGGAATTACTGACTTTCTAAATTTATTATTCATACTATTAACAGCAGCAGAATTCTTTCGAATCTGGATTTCTCTCTTCAGATACATTCCATTAACTACAAAAGTGTTAAAAGAGTGTTATACGAAATAGTGTTAAAAGGGGTCATCTCATTAAGTAAACAATACGGTTAGGGGAAAATGTGTATAAAATAAGTAAATTCTTCAAGTATTTTGTTATTTAAATTCAATATATGTTTTTTATAAAAGTATAAAATAAATACCAAAAAAAATTATTTCTTGCAAATACTGAAACATAACAAACGAATATATAGAAATTAATAAAATTTTAAGTCACCATTTATATTTTTGTTCATTCAAAATTTTTTGCATTTCCTTTTTTTTTCTTTTCTTTTTTTTTTTAAATCAAGAAGGTATCTATTGTCATTTTTCTTTTGCCCTCCATAAGAAGTTGTTGACAAGGCATCCATAACACGCTGTCTTGCCTTTGAACTCCTATCAAAATCTGTGTCATTTTTAATAAATAAGTCCATAATTTCCGAAATGGAAGCTGAACTGATTTTTAGAAATGCCATTGAAAGTCATTTTTGCTCTTCTACAGAATTGCTATTTTTAAAATTTTTGTGTTCTTGATTTGCTAATTCCTTGAGCTCATCATCATTAGAAAGACTTTCCATTGTTTCTTACAAAATTTCTTCAAGATCTTTCACTATTTACTTCATCTAAATATGTTTGTTTTTCCAACTCCATTTTTTTGTTCATATCAACAACAGAATCACTGGCGTCATCATCCTTGTTTAAATCGGGCCAAATGTTTTCCCACACTACTTTCAAACATTTTTCTGTTACTTCATTCCATATTTTGTTCATATCAACAACAGATCCTCTAGTGTCATCGTCCTTGTTTAAATCTAGTCAAATGTTTTTCCACACTACTTTCAAACATTTTTCTGTTACCTCATTCCAAGAAAGATTTATGTTTTCTATAGCATCCATGATATTATAGTTCCTCCAAAAGTCTCTTACTGATCGTTTATCATCTCCGTCTATTTTTTTAAACATTTGTCTATATGTTCACCTCAAGTAATAAGCTTTAAAATTTGATACAACACCTTGAGCCATTGGTTGGATTAATGCACTTGTGTTATGTGGCAAGAAAACCACTTCAACTAGAATACATGTTATTGAGTCAGATAGTTCAGGGAACTTAATTCTGAAAAATTTTCATAGTTATCCATGATTTTTTATTAAACTTCCAAATACCGTGTTTATTTTGATATTCCTTTCATTGTTCTTGCATTTTTGGAATGATAAACAAGAAATGGCTTTAATTTGAAGTCTCCACTAGTGTTAGCACTCAGGAGAAGTGTTAAGTGATCTTTCGCAGCTTTAAATCGCAGCTTTTTGGTGCATGTTTATCTTCATGGAATAGAAATAAATGTTTTGGCATTCTTTTCCAAAATAGGCCTATTTCACTAACATTAAAAACTAATTCTAGAGGATAGTTTCCTTGTTCAATTATTGCTTTTAATGTTGCTAAAGTTCAGCCAAGAGTTCAGCCACCGCTTCTATATTTCCACTTGCTGCTTCTCCTGTAATCTGTATGTTATGAAGATTATTTCGATGTTTTAATCTATTAAACCATCCTCAACTTGCAATGAAAATTTTAGCTGTGCCACCTGTTTCAATGTGAATGTAATTAAGAATTCTTCTCCACTTTTTCCATTATAATAGCTTGGCTTAGTGGCATATTACGTTCAATTTCGTCGTCAATCCATACAGAAATTCATTTTTCCATCTCCTCTATCGTTTTACTTCTATAATGGGTTATTCTAGTTGCAGAGTTTTTGTAGTTGTAGTTGCTGATGACACTATTTTTTCTTTATTCTTGAAAATTGTCTTTATTAATGAAGTTGACAAGTTCAATGCAACACCCATTTGACATTGATGTTCACCACTACCTAATCTTCTGAGCACTTGTATTTTAGTTTCTACGATTTTTATTGTCAATTTATTTTCATGTTTCTTATTATCGCCCATAATAAAAATTAAAAATTATAATATTTATCACTACATCAATCATTACAATACATAAATTTATTAATTAACAACAACAGATATTTCAAATAATAAAAATATGTTTGCGTAACACTACAGAGAAGAGTAATACAGATAAATTACTTTCGATTATGGGAAAGCCCAATGCTGCGTGCAATTTTCAGGAAATCCCTATAAAAACACGTTAACTGATACAGTGCTAAGTAGAACAGTGTTAAGCAGGGTCTTACTGTATAATTGCCCTTCATAACTAAGTCAAAAGAGAATTATTTCCTCTTACAGGATTACAATTACGCATAAAGTCAGAATTGAATTTTACTGTGTGTGCAAACATATATATATGCATATACATAATAGAAATTAAATTCCATCAAATACTAAAATTATAGCTTTCTAAAGTAAAACAAAACTGCAAAAGAATAACTTGAGAACCAGGAAAAAGCAAAATTAGAACTTTAGCAAAAATGAAGTAGATGAGGCCAGATGGCCAAAACATTAGAAATGTCAGATTGAATTACTTTTGTTTTTGACAGGGATATATATATATTAACAGCAATTTAGTAAGTAAAATTTATATACACACAATAAATGTAAATAATATATATAGTCAAACTGTGATCTTAAACCATACCGTGACAACAGGCTTCTCAAACAGTTCCTGAGCTTCACTAACTCCTGGATTATCAGGACTGTCACAGATTACATGAGTCACCATATCAGATAGGTAACTATTATGACTTCCACCTCCCTCAAGAAGGACTGCTTTGATCTACAAGTTAGGGAAAATTAAAATTACAGATATCTGAATTCTGAAACTTGAACATTGAAACAAATTAATATTTTTTAATAACAGATATAAGGCAAATATATATATATATAAACAAAAACTGCACAATTCAAAATGTTCAATTATCAACATACCTGCAGTTTGTATACTACAATATCTATAATGCATGTTATATTGCATACTTACAACATATTTAGCAGTAAAGAATTCCAGCATTTTAAGCATAATCTTCAAGAGATGATATAACAATGAAAACAGAATATACTTCGCTATTATATGAATGTGCATACAAGTTTAAGAAATGATAAAATAATAAAATCCTGTTTCTACCAAAGCATTGCAAAAGTAATGATAATGTGGTCGAAGTCATGCATTGTATTTGTGTTCAAGAGTTATTAATAAGGAAAAATATGCTAGTTACATTCCAGCTCATATATTTTATTATGCCTTGTTGTTCATATGCTTTTCTATTTCTTTAATTTAAAAATAAAATAGTAAACTACAAGATAAAGAAACATGATCACATATGGAAAAGTTTTTCACATATCTTCAAATAATAAACTGCCCTTTCCCTAATACTTAGAGTCCAAATATTTGTATGCATTTGATATAATTAGTTAGAGATTATAATTTATTTTATTGAAATAAAAGATGCAGCAAATTAAAAATGTTTCAACTAATAATATGTATATATGGTTGCTGAAACATTAACATTAAAGACACATAAAATTTGTAGAGCACATAAAATAGAATTTTCAGACACATAAAATCACTATACCACAGAAAAAATAATTAATCTTCATATTTAACACAATATTTTTTAGCATTGAATCTATGAATTAAGAATCATTCTATCTGTGTAAAAAGTTTTATACCACAGTTTACAGTACATTTTAAAAATACATACTCATTAAGAACAACATACATGCATAACTGTATGTGTGGTCCTTCTTTTAATTAAAAAGAAATTGTCTGTCTTTTGAATAATCTCTTACTGATACAGTTATTATATGTGTTACATAGAATACAAAATCTGAGATCTGGAATCATCAGAACCCTGATGATTCTGGATTTCAAAGATTTCCAGATTTTAGATCAACTGTTTAAATTTAGTACGATGACAAGCATACATGGCAAGATTGCCCTTTGCTCATTATTTAGGTCTGACATAAGCTACCCTCCCAACATGGCTGCCACTATACCCAGTGTGCCCACACTTTGTGACAGAAATTGCAGAATTTGACCGAGCAGCAAAAATTAGGGAGGAGAGGCACTGAGCAGTAGAAGTTAGAGATGGCAAACTTTTAGAATTTAAACAGTACATGGCAGCAAAAGGCACACCACCAGTTCTGTCCTCCCTCAAGGGGCAAAAGTGTAAATCCTGGCCAATGCCAGTGTACTGCTATTGACTATGTACCTAGCCAGCAAGTGAAAATGGTGTACATGAATCTACAGTAGAAGAAAATTGAATTTACAGCACATGTGCTCCCTTTTGTTAAGTATTATTATATTCTCCATTCCTAGACATTGTAAAAGAGGGGAATTATTATTATTTTTCTTTACTTATTTTGCTGGTGGGGTGGATATTGCTTCATTCTAAATATTGAGTGTCCAGATTTGAGATTTTACACTGTATATACATGTTTAAAACAAGCAGTAATATACCACTGCAACAAGAAATTTCCAGATTAGCCCTGGTAGCATGCCAACAAATTACACTACCTGCAGTAACAGTGGTCTTTAATCTTGATAAGGCAGTTACCTAGAGACATAGCTTGTGTTAACAATGGTAGTTGTTACAATGGTTATGATTGCCTGTGTGTGGTAGTCTGCAATTGAATCTTGGACAAGAAGGTGAAAGAACGATTCAACACGAAATTTTGTGTCAGATTGGGATAATCAATCATAGAGAAACAGAGCATACTTTGGCAAGCTTATGGAATGAAGCAATGAATCATACACAATGTTTCAAACAGCACAGTTGCTTCAGAGATTGGGAAACATCCTTTGACAATAGTAAGCAATCTAGAAGATCTTTCATGAGCATCGCCCAAAAAAATCTGTTAAGTTACCATTTTTATTTTATTTATTGTAACAAGTTTATTAATGTTTTCCTTTTCCTTCACGTTTTATTTCGAGTGTAGATGACCAAAATTATAAGTGGGAGGATTCCCGCCATCAGATGGCAGGTCATTCTACCACTATGATTTACTTGCTGTTTTTGACTTTTACGTTTTAGCATCTAAATGTTATTCAAAATCAAAGGATGAGCCATTCCCACCATCTGACAGCAGGAATGGCATTCTATCTCCATGATTTATTTACTGTTTTTAACTTTTGAGTTTTGGCATTCAAAAATTATTATTGTTTGATTTTTTGTTCTTTTCTTTAAGTTAGAAGGAGTTTGCTGAAAAGTACGACAGCGATGAGGGCTTTCAAAGCAGCAGTTTCTTAGCTTTTACTATAACCGATAGCTGCAATTATTTTGTCAGTGATGTAATTCGTCACTGAAATGATCAAGTTTCTTCCTGTAAATAAAATGTAATAAATGTTTATGTCATAAGTATGGATCATGATCTAGTCTATGACTCATGATTGACTTCAAGACAGTGCCGCCATCAATGGAAAAACCTGTCAAGTAAATAAGATTAACTCATAATTACGAGTTTTGGAATCTTCTGACAGGACACTTATGATTTTAAAAATATTAAATTTGTATTAATATCATTTTTTAAATATTAATTATCAAAAAGTTTTAACAGTTTAAAATATTAATATTAATAATTTATTTAAAAATTAATTTTAAATGCATATGAATGTAGTTAATATTTTAAACAAATTGAAATATGATAATAAAATTGTGTAATATTAATAGTAGATTAGTAGTATCAAAATTGTGCAGCTAATATATATATATATATGTTTCATATCATAATTTAAAACTTCATTTATATGTCTATCTCATTTATACGTTATTTGTGAACAGTCCCTTGAAAGACATATAAACAGTGCTCCACTATATAGATATAAACATATATATGGTGTCTAGACTAGAAGAGAAACACGCTAATGTGACAATCAAAATCGTAAAAACAACCTTGTATTTAGAGTGCATATAATGAAACGACTCAATCGATTTCGAAGGGCAGCTAAAGGTCCCTCCTCATCCAGGAGAACGAAATACCTGAAAGGAAGGAAAAAGAAAAAAATTAAGCATCGGCAAAGGAGTCACAGAAACACGTGGTCCTTATCAGCACTGCACATGGTCGTATAACCTAGATTTTTTTTTTTGATTCAGAGTTGCACTGGCCGCCTACTTTTACTGAGCCAAGGCTATCTGATCAAACAATTAATATATAGACTAAAACGCAAAGAAAATAAGGCGAAGTACAAAATAGGGAGCGAGGGGCAAATGCACCTTACGCTCAGTCCGGTACTTGCTGACATTTATATGCACTATTTTGAGATGAAATTATTTCATAAACTATCTTTTCGTCTTTGGATTCGGTATGTTGACGACATTTTCACACTTTTTGACGGTTATAAAGAGGATTTATCTGATATTCTATCTATTATGAATTCAATTGATCCAGCCATCCAATTCACTCTTGAAATTGAATCCAACAATTCCCTCCCCTTCCTTGATATTCTTATAATCCGCAATGAAACTGATTTTAGCACCACTGTGTACCGTAAACCCTTTGCAGTTTTGTTTACCACCCCCATGCCAAGTCATGCCCCTGTTAAGCAAAAAATGGCTTCTTTTTACTGTTATGTATTCCACGCGCTTAAGTTGTTCCTCTGAATCTTTGCTTACCAATGAACTTAATTATTTGAGAGCAGTTGCGATTGACCGCGGATTTTCTCACCTGATTATTGATAAAGCCGTTCCCCATTTTCAGATTTCCTAAAAGAAGACTTTCCACTGTTAGAAATAACATTAATGACCTTGTCGTGCTTCCATTTTATCCTTCTGTTAGCTATAAAATTGCACGGATTCTCCAGAAATTCAATTTTCAAGTCGGTTTCTCCCCTATTAATAAAATTCACCCTTCGATTCTAAAAGATTGCGTTTCTGTCTTGAATTCTTGGGGAATTTATAGTATATCGTGTCAGTGTGGTTTAAGATATATAGGCCAAACGAAAAGAGCGTTGAAGTTTCGTATCAAGGAACATGAATAATATGTCAGAAAAGGCGAAATTAACAAGTCTTCAATAGCGTATCATAGTTGGACTTTTAACCATAATTTTGATTTTGGATCTGCAAAAATTATCCAAAAGGCTTCTTCCATAGGTGAATTGGATTTTCTTGAGGCTTTTCACATTCACAAAGATTTAGCAGGTTTAGTTAATGATTTGAAGTCCAATCCAGTCCTTCCTAATGCCTTTAAAATTCTACTATCTTAATTCAGTTATTTTTGCTGATAGATGGCATTACCTCCTCGCCTTTGGTACTGAACGGATTTGTATACCAGAGGGTATACAAATCCGTTCAGTGGTTGCTTTCCATTATTTGAAGTTAAGATTTTGAACGTAAGGTGCATTCGTCCCTCGCTCCCTATTTTAACTTCGCTAATTTTTCATGCTCGATCAGATAGCCTGGCTCAGTAAAAGTAGGCGGCCAGTGCAACTCTGATTAAAAAATCTAGTTATAACCACGTGCAGTGCTGATAAGGACCACGTGTTTCTGTGACTCCTTTATTTTCTTCTTTCTAGGTATTTCTTTCTCCTGATGAGGAGGGACCTTTAGCTGCCCTCGAAATCGATTGAGTGTTTCATTATACCTACGCTAAATACAAGGTTGTTTTTACGATTTTGATACATGGTGTCGCCAATCGTTTGCAGCCGTGAAGTCATCCTTTCTATTATAGGCTCTGAAAGCAAAAAGCAATAAATTAGGAGAATCACTTTGAGACGACTTACAGTAGAAGTAAGCAAAAGCAGAGATGCCACTTCTGTTAAAAGAGAACTATGATGTGCTA